GATCAGATCATAGAAGCACAGGATAAAGACCCATTCTTGCAGAGATCAAGAATGAGATTGGTACTGATAAGAGAAAAGATTTTGGAATAGCTTCGGATTAGGCACTAATGTTTAAAGGAAGAATTTGTGTACTAAATGATGAAGTTTTGAGGAAGGAGATATTGGAGGAGGCTCATTCTACCCCCAACGCCGCACATCCTGGTGGTACAAAAATGTATTAAGACCTTCGAAATACATTTTGGTGGAGAAATATGAAAAGAAGTAGAGGTTCATTTGTGGTAAAATGCAAGTATGCCAACAAGTTAAAGCGGAACATCAAAGACCGACAGGGTTATTAAATCCATTAGACATACTTGAATGGAAGTGGGAGAATATCACAATGGACTTTGTGGTAGGATTTCCAAGGTCAGGAAGAGGACAAAATGTTATATGGGTAATAGTGGATCGTCTAACAAAGTCCGCTCATTTTCTTCCAGTAAAAATGACATTCAATCTAGATCAGCTGGCGCAATTGTACATTAGAGATATTGTAAGATTGCATGGTGTCCCCGTGTCCATTGTATCTGATAGAGATCTACGATTTACGTCAAAGTTTTGGAGGAGCTTACAAGGAGCTATAGGAACGAAATTGAATTTCAGTACAGCATATCACCCTCAATCTGATGGTCAGTCTCAAAGGACCATTCAAACTTTGGAAGATATGCTAAGGGCTTGTGTTTTGGATCTAGGAGGTAGTTGGGAATCGTATATACCTCTGGTAGAATTTGCATATAATAACAGTTTTCAAGCAACTATTGGAATGGTACCGTATGAAGCTCTCTATGGTAGAAAATACAGATCACCTATTCATTGGGACGAAGTTGGAGAAAAGAGAGTTTTGGGACCAGAGATCATTGAAAGAACAGTTGAAGCCATTAATAAGATCCGTACTAGGATAAAGGCCGCGCAAGATAGACAAAAGAGTTATACAGATACTAGGAGAAAAGACTTGGAATTTGAAATTGGAGAGAAAGTCTTTCTAAAGATGTCACCAATAAAGGGTGTACTTAGGTTCGGCAAGAAAGGAAAACTACGAGCTCATTATATCGGACCTTTTGAAATACTTGACAGGGTTGGAAATGTGGATTATCGATTGGCGTTGCCACCTGAACTATCGACAGTTTACAATGTGTTTCATATATCGATAATCAGAAAGTATATGCATGATCCTGATCATGTGGTCAACTAGCAATCCTAGGAAGTTAAAGACAAATACTCAACACTCTTTGTCCAACCATAAGGTAAATTTCAAGGACGAAATTTTATTTAAGGTGTAAGGTTTGTAGTAGCCGAGAAAAATAAAATGGAATTATGCTAATATTTTGTGATGATCTAGCACCACGAGTCTAACCCATTTTAGAAATGACCTATGGAAGCTCAACCCATGTAAGATTACGAAAGCCCAAGTCATAAGTTAATTAAAAGCCCAATAATTTAAGAGATTAAATTTAAGTAAAATTGATTACAAAGATTTAATGAATAATTGGGTTGCCACAATGGTCATCTACATGGTATTTTATATAGGCAACCCAGGTTCGAATTACTATGTAGATGTTTTTTATAAAACTTTCATATGAATTATTTTTATGGTTTAGAGAATCTTCAAATTCTTAGTTAAAGACTAAATTTAATAAATTTAATGATAATACAACTCCCCCACTTAATTTTTCATTAAAAAGAAAGGTTATAGAAGTGGAAGGTCGCTCTTTCACTACACTCCTCTTCAAATTCGTATTTCATCTCATTTTGACTCAAAAAAAATATATTTTATATCAAGTTAAGCTTAAGGAATAACAAGGGTGAAAAGAAGGAAGGCTTTCTGTACATTTTGTTCTTTTATCCAAGAAAATTCAAGGTAAGTAGAGGTGCAAGTGTTCATTCATTTTCAAATATGATTTTTCGATAAATGTTTAAATGAAATGGTACCTTTGGGTACGGTGCTTCAGCACTACAACAGTTTGAATGATCATTCTCCGGCTCTACGTATTATGATAATGCTATAGTAATTGAATTTTGCAGGAAATCCATCTACGTGCGACGGTATGAATCTATAGTTCGGAATTTCTAATTTGATAGCGAATTGCACCAATGATATCTATTGAGTTTCAAACTCATAGGTTAATTCCCTTCCTACAGGTTAAATGGATTTTCCTTGGGGCATAGATGATGGTAAATGATGATGCAACATGACATGGAGAAGCCGGTGATTTACATCTTTAGTTGATTTTGAGATGTTTACACTTTCTTTAAATTCGATACCTATGAATATTGTGTGGATCTAGTTATGAATAAATTATGTTTGAAAGTAGATATGGGTCATAGGAATGAATTTAAAAATCACCGTATAAAAAAAAAAGTTAGCGACTTAAAGTTTTGATGGTTCTTCAGAAATTTCAGTTTCTGCCTCATCTTTAAAAAAAATCATAACTCTTTCGTTACTTGATATTTTTATACAAAACCAGTTGGATTGGATAGTCTAATAAGTTAAATACTGAATAAAATTGGAATCATGTCAATCCAATATCGGTAAAAGGTTACATGTCACATAAAGTAAACTGTGCTGAGTGTTGTCTCTGTTTTCAGCTTCTACCCTTGTTTTCAAAAATTTATAACTCACTCGTTACTTAGAATTTTTGGATGAAACCAATTGTATTTTATAGTCTCATGGATTACCTACTGAATAAATTTGAAATCATGTGGTTTTGATGTCGGTGAAATTTTATATACCATTTTAAGAGAACTGCAGCGATTTACCTTTCAACCGGGTCGCTGCTGAGTTTTGAAAAATATTTTAATACCCTGTATGATGTCGACGGAAGCTAGTTTTTGACTAGGTCGTATTATAAGGAATTTACTGCCTTACATTAAAATTTGATGAAATTTCAAGGTCGATAGCTATGAAAACAAATTTATTTGACAATTACTGTTTGAGTTTGCCAAAATTTCACGTCAATGGTCGTTACATGCATGGAACCCATTCAAAAAAAAAATTTGAAATTTTTTTCTTTTAGAATTGGAATTATTGTTTAAATAAAAAAAAAGAAGAAAATTTTTTAATTAAATTCTAAAATTTTAATCTTTATACCTTCTACTAAAAATATATTGAACTAACTTTACGGCTAAAGTAAAATGATTGAGTGACATTTCCGTTCATGCGGGTCGGGGCGTTATAGAAGTTACCTTATAGACCTTTAAAGTTAACCTTGTGAATCCCTACAAATTCGGGAAGAATCTTGGAAGATTATGGAAGATCCAAAACGATAAAGTAAATATCATAATGAAATGTAGTCCCAGAAGGAAACAAATATACTGAATGAAGTTTATAAAAGGAAACAGATATATCAAATGAAGTTTACCGTAACTCTATGAACAAGTCATAGCACAACATTTGGAATTATGACTCCAGCATCTAATTTTGTAAAAGCTCCTTCCCAGTAAATAGCAATGCATACGTAACAAAAAAAATGTATGCGAAATAGTAATGAAGCAATACCTCCGTCCTCTCGAGCTACGTATGGTGCTTATACTGTTTTGACAAGCCAGTGTTTCCTGAAAATGGAGGGCGGGACTTTCTCCCCCATTTTACCTCTGGCGTGAGAATTAGTATTGAATGAGGAATAGCAAAGAAGGTATTCAAATAGTCAAAGTTCGTATGAGAGAGACCTGTTTCGCCTTAGGTGTATTTATAGGTGCCTGAAGCCACGTCAATGCTAGGCGATTACAATACCACATGTCCCATATACCTCTTTCGCTGCTCACATTCTAAGTGGGGGGCCCCAACTATCTGATAGTTGGTTGCATCCGTAACAGTCGTTAAGCGATCTCCATCCAATTTATTGATGATTTTATGGATAAGTGTTGGATAGCCGCATGATGGTAGATGGTCCCATGAGGGTCGACGATCCAGTATAGACGTAGAGTGTACATAGGGGTCAACGGCCCAGCATAGACATAGCGTGCTCATGGGGGTCAATGGTCGGGCATGGACGTATAGTGCTCATAGGGGTCGACGGTCGGGGCATGGACGTAGAGTGTTCATGGAGATCCACAGTCGAGCATACACGTAGAGTGTTAATGTGATTGATGGTCGGCATGGATGTAGAGTGCTCATAGGGTCGACCGTCGGGCATAGATATAGAGTGCTAATGGGGGGGTTGACGATCGGGCATGGACATAGAGTGCTCAACTCAAGAAATAACAAAATGATCATATAATCATATTTTATGTCGGTACCATACGAGACTCTCAATGCATTGATATAACTAATTTCTTTCAAATCACCATGTACAATCTATAATTTTGATGATGATCTTTTTCCTATTTAAATTCCATTTTAAGCGTATTCATTCCTTAAAATTATTCGTCATAGAGTTCTCCTGAAACCCCAAGTCATTTGAGTCAGCTCTGATTAGCAGCAGTTAATACAACCACAAATGTTATTTCGTTATGTACCCATTTCCTGCTCTCCAACCGACATAAAAAGTTCAGTTGCTTTATCAGTCATTCCATAGGAAGAAGTATTATGTATTATTGAATTCCATGTAACTAGACTCCAATTCTCCATCTCATCAAAGAGACAAAGACTCTTATGTTACAATCCATTTCATTTAATCAAAAATTAAAAGTTGACTTGTCAAAGTCAAAGTCAAATAGAGACTAAAATGAAATAAATTATTTTATTGGGGCTTAATTTATTATGAAATTATTTTGAGGCTTTGAGATGGATAAAATAAATTTTTTGGGATCTACTTATATATTATTGGAAGTTAAAGGACTAAATGTTATGCTTAATTAAAGAAGAGGGACTTCCTTTGCAAAAATTGGTTAATCGAGTCCAAATGTCATATTTAAAACCTATTTTTGCTTTACATACATAGAGATAGCTGAGAGCAGAATAAAAAATGGGGAGGAAGATAAAAAAGGGAAAGAAAAGAGAAAATAAAGAAAAGAAGAAGGAAAGAAAGAAGAGGAGGAGGAGAATAAGGGAAAAAAGTAGTCCAAGCTTGATTTCCATTCTCTCCTCTTTATTTTCTTCAATAAGTAGAGATTAATTTTATGTTAAAGTTGTTAGTGTTTAATTTTGAGATCAAGTGAAAGGGTATAATTTTTTCTTGCTCAAGTTGCTTGATTGATAAATTCTTTTTTGAATCAAAGTTAGCGATACTAATTTGTGGACAAACCCTAGAGTTTTATTTTATTTGGATTCTTGAATAAATATTAGTGGAAATGATTGTGATGAAAAAACATGAATTTATGGAACAAGATAAAGTAAATTGCAAGTGTGATTTCAAGTTTCCACTAGATGGAAGAAGGGATAATTATTTTTATTCTTTGGATGAAAGTTATTTTGATGAATTATTTATTAGTAAAGGGACTAGAAAGTGGTATTATCTCCAATTGATTAAAGGAAAATTTGAGAAATTTATTCAAATATTGATAACTTTAGTTTAAGTATAATATCATTAGATATTAAAGGTTTTTTGATTTGGTAGTGGTTAAATTGATTATCTTGTAATGTATTTCAGATGGTGACGAAGAGATTGGGAAAGCTTACTGACCATCCGACTCTGTAGCTTGTATCATGTGAGTGAAAAAACTTATTTTTCAAAAATAAGTATTTATTGAATTTATATTAAATCAAAAAATTAAATATTTTATATAGCTAGTTTGACAATATAATTTTTCAGAATAAAGTGCTTTCAATTCTTTTTAAAGTTAAATTTTGCTCAGTTAAATCATTTCATTAGATGTTATAGTTGTATTAAATATTTCAGCGTATCTAAAGTTGTTTTCAAAACTACCATAAAGTACCCATGTAATTTTACTCGGTCTGCATTGGTGTGATTGTGTTTTCACAATGTGTGACCCCATATGATTATTTTATTCACTCTATATTGTAGTGAGTTTCCACAATATATAATCAGTTATGGTTATTTTACTCGCTCTGCACCATTGTGATTATATTTTCATAGTGTATGACTAGATTATTGCTTTTGAGCAACTCTGCACGCGTATGACCAGAATTTCAAATTTTAGAATTGAATAACTTTATCATGTACATTGAGATTAATCAATGCATGATTATGGTTATTCTGAGTACCTTTTTAGTGTGATTTTCAGTAATATATACAACTCATTAGATTTTAAATTATAGAAATTAGTTTATTCAATTTAAATAATAAAGATTTTAGCTTATAATACTGTAAAATGATATTTTTATTATATATTAGTTTTCAGAATGTTGGCATAAATAGAAAAAAAATATATTTATTTGTTAGATATCCACTCCCTGAGTTATAAGTTCATATATTTTGACAACATTTTTCTTATCAAATAGTAGTTGAGTTGAGCAGCATTGTATCCCATTGATCTATCAAGTGGAGCCACATATTGTCAGTTGTTGTATGTCTCATCTTGTCAATTTTTACAATACATATTTTTGGAATACGTGCATTTTTGTTAAAAAATAAAAAATAATAAAAATGTATCCATATCATATGCTCATTACATAATTGATATCTTTTCAATATGTTGGACATTTAGAGTCTTTTGGCTTGTTAAGAAGTGTAAATTCATTCCTGTGCAATTTATTTTGAATAGTTTGTATTTGAAGGATTGGTGTACTTTATTTCAAATTATATGTACAAATTTGAGAAAACTGATTGTTGTTCAGGTAGTTTTAGTCTATATTTCAGAAGAAACTCAATCAATTTTTTTTTTTTTAAATTCATCACAGTCAAAGCAAATCAATGTCGCCTTGGTGTTGGGTCTAGAATTTAGCTAATATCTACCATCGACTCACGATATGTGTCGAATTTATTAGAGTGATTCGAGATGGATCATGTCACTTTCTACTTTTATAATGCAACCACTGTTCAACGAAACTCAAGGAGGTCATTTCCTGCATGCATATTTTCATATATAGAGTGACCTTATCATGTAAGTATAAAAAGAGGCCTGCTACTGATCCAGGCTCAGGGACAAATCAAAAACAGGGGGCTGAGATTCAGATCCCTGTTTTTCATCTGTCCATGGGCATGGATGACCAGCATTAGTGGTATGAAAATGCTACCTATTTTTGGCACCTCAGCCCCCTGTTTTTTATCTGTCCATGGGCCTAGATGACTAGCATTAGTGGTATGAAAATTGCTACCTATTTTTTTAGCGGTCTACAAGACAAGCCTGGAGCAACTCGTTAAAGCATCAATCATTTTCCTATATATGTTTGTTATGCCTTCTCAAGTTAGCTAGCAAAACATACACCTTAATCACAATATTCCATTAAACAAAACCACTCTCAAGCTTTAAGTCAATTAAAAATGCAATTATTTGGTTTTCGTTGGTAACAACAATTGAAAAATTTCTAATGACAAATTCCACCCCTTGATAATTTTTCAACAAAGTAGATGTTGGTCGAAATCAATCGTTTTACCAATTTATCAAAAGTAAATTTGCTAAAAATAAAGAAATGCAAAAGGAATTTTTCACCAACTAATGGGTTCGATACTCTGTTTAGCATCTATAAAATAGATTACATTCCAGATAATAGATTAAAATCATTTGGTACAAATGTTTGAAGAAAAATTCACACATTTCTTCAAGTTTCCCTCGCCTCACTTATATACAAGTTTACCACAATAAACCTAACACTCCCTTATCCAAACTTGGTAAACAACCTAAATTCACTTAAGATTTACAACAAAAATAGCCACCATCAAAGAACAATTTAAAGAGAAAACCCTAAATGAAGAACAAGATAAAAACAATACACGCTCACTAGAATGTGTGAAGAATAGGGTTAAGCTATATTTATTTGGGTCTCAAACAATCAGGTGTGTAGGGATCTGATCACCAATTTAACATAACAAAAGACGCATTTATCGCAAACACGTTTTTAACAAATTGGTCAACAGGTCAACATAAGTGAGACAATCAAAGCCAATCAACAGTAGAAAATATTGGTATACATACAAAATAGTAACAGAATAGTCCATTGATAATCGATTGAGGATTCAGCAACAGTATTTTCATCGATTGAGGATTCAGCAACAGTATTTTCAACCATTACAGTTGGTAAATGTAATCGTGCCATAGAAGGGCTAAGTTCAATTAACCAAATTCATTCTCACCTTCGACATTTTGCTCGACACATTATTTTTTTTTTTTTAACTATCTCACTACAATAGATGTGAGAATCAAATTTTATAAGCCCGTGAGGCATAGTCTAGTGGTGCAAATGATAAGAGTGAGGTTATCTCACGCTTTGCTGACCGTCGCAGTGTGGGGTTTCGATTCCTGAAACATGAAATTGGACTCCTTGTAGGCGCAGTGTATATGCAGCTTTTGTTCCCTAACCTGTTGGGGGCACATCCCGCGATTTACCTGTTGAAAAAAAAAACTGAGTTATGGGCCAACTTTGGCATGAGTTTTGAGTGGGACTCGGTTGTTCAATTTGGAAGATGAAAGTTGATTTGTGTTCTCCTCCATGAGTACATCGAAATTATATACTTACTTGCCAAAGATGATGTTGGAGTGAATGAGAAATTGAGGCTCAAAGTGTGTCACTCAAAAGGGAGTTTATGTGGGAAAAATGAATTTGTCCCACATAGGAAAAAGATGAGAAACTCCAAAGGTCATTGCTATTAATGGTAGCCTAGCCTATAAATAGTGGCTCATTTTCCTCATTTCAATACACCAAAGCAAAAGTTTTCAAGTTTAGAATACACAAGAAATTCATTTGCATAGAGTTCTGTCTTTTTTGCATTTCTGTCTTGGTGGTGGTGTAGTTCAGGCACTAGTTTAGTTCGTCAAATTGGCTTCTGCGGTGCTCAGAAGCTACTGGTTTTACTATTATATCCTGAAAAACGGACGCTCGTTTTAAACCTAAAGCACGGACGGAGAGGGGGCGAATCTGTTTTAAGGAAACTGTGTGTAACACAGGCCTCGGTTTGAAATTTCATTTCCTGCAATTTCAATTATTCGTTCTGTTATTTATTGTAGTAAATTCAATAGTTGATTTGTTGTTCATTCTGTTATTATCCAATTAGTTGTACGACTATAACTTCTTGTTATATATCATCTTACCGAATAAAAGGCATATACGATATTGAAATCGAGAATACCAGATTCCTCATTTTTCATAAACTTGCCGGATTTCAGAAAAGTTCGGTCGACCGAACTGGTGCAACTTTGGATTTTCCCTATATTACCTCCCTCACAAAGCTCTAGGGGTAGGACGGTGGGAGCTCTCAAGGTTAAGGTTCAACCTTTGAGAATCAAATTTTATAAGCGAAAACATATCTTCCTAAATCATAAATATATCTCTAGCGAAACAGTATGAATGGAAAATAAAATAAAATAAATAATAATAATAATAATAATAATGAGAGAGAGAGGGAGAGAGAGAAATACAGGGACCTACGGAACCCTCTAGAACGTGGACATGGAAGACGTGTTCCACTTTAACATCAACTTCGACAAAAACTTTCTATGAGGTCCAACATTGCTACTAAAGAATAGTTGAGATTTGAGAATGCACGAGCCAAGAATCAAATGCGAAGGACCATTTAAAGTAAATACACTTCAATATCGATGTAGAATATTTGGAAAGTTCATTTAAATAAATAAAAAAATATTTATTTAATGTTATAACTTGATTATATCATACTAAATACATCATACGTGAGTGACCTAAGTTTCGATAATGATTATAAGCATTATTTTTATCAGAAATTAATTTGTACTTTTTGCTTGATGTTGTTTTCGCAAGTGTATATATCGTAACAAGTAATAAAGTGAATCAAAAAGTCAGGATATCATTTTCACGATAACTACTATTTAACAATTGATTCAATTATTTTTAACTTTCATTTGATCGAAAACAAACAAAGAATTAAATGTTGTGATTTTTGATGCAACTATTTGAAAGTATGTGGATACACACAAAGAATAATTTAGAATTCAAATAATAAATGGATATTAGGGTGGAATAATTTCACCTATTGATCAGTTTTAAGTCTTAAATCAAGATTCGTAAAATCTAAGGTAGTGTTCGATCGAATTCTTCTATTGTATTCAGAATTCTCATTGAGCTTATTTAACTACTTCAATTCCATATCCCTATGTGAATCAAATTTAGTTAAACGAAATAAAAGTTCTAAGAATTCATTTATGTCACAGTAATTAATATAGGTATCTCTACACATTATATTAGTTTACTGGATTTTATAAAATATAAATTTTTAAGTAACTTTCGTTACTTAAAATTATTTTCATAGATAGATAACTTTTAAACACAACAAAAGAGCATTTCTTCTTGGCTCTTGAGAAAGACCAATGGTTTTAGCTTTTCGACTGGCCAAACAAATCTAAAAAAATATGAGATCAGTTAGGCCCTTATTAAGCCGAGTAAGAATAAACCAACAATTTTTTTTTTTCAAAATTAGTTTTAAAATAAATAAAAATTATCTTTTGTATATAGGTGGTCGTGGACCATGAGCCTCTACCCAAGTCCAAGTGGTGTGGTCTCGAGCCTTGGCAGCTAGGTGCACATTTATTTTTCTAGTTTTGAATCATCCGTATAGTAATTAATTCATGTGCAGATGCTTAGTTATATGCGGACAAGATGATCCTCCATTAATTTACACAAATGGAACGATTCCAACCATCAACTTGAAATTCGAATTATGGAAAAAAAACTTATTGCAACCTTTTTTAGCGGAGTTTTACGAATATCAGCCAGGATATGCATTATTTCTGGATTAAATAAACCGTTAAAGGCAATACATGAAGTAGCAACCCTTAGAAAATGATTTTGAGCAAAATTAGGACTGAAAGAGGGACTTCTCTAAAAATATATACATAGATGAAATGAATGGCATGAGAGAAGATGCAAGAGAATAGATATTGAGACAGCAATATTTCTGCAAAGTTGGAGAAAAAAAGTAGATAGAAAAAGTGAAAATAAAGCAGAGAATAATTGGGACAACCATATTTTTCAAAGTTATGGATAGAAAGTAGAGAGAGAAAGGGAGAAAAGAAAGTAGAGAATTAAAAATTGGGACAATCATTTTCTCCAAAGTTAAAGAGAGACAGAGTAGGAAGAGAATAAATAAAGTGCACATCCCGGGGGAGCCACTTTTCATGTAATGTGTGAAGAATAAAAAGAGAAAAAGTGATCAAACTGGCGTTATTATTACAGCGACTAATGCAATGTGAATTCAGCAGTTATGCACATTAAGATACGATAAGTTTTAAAAATGAAGTCAATTTTATATACTTGTCACTTTAAGCATATTTATATTAGTAAAAAAGTTAGGTATCGTTTGGGTTATTGATGCATATGCATCACAAAACATTGTACACTCTGCATATGGTAAATACTAAGCTGATGAAGGCTAAAAGGTTTTGAAATGGGATTAAGATCAGAGATTGAGGGAATATTGGTAGCCCAGCAATTTATTACTTATGCTGAAGTTGTACATTGAGTGCAAGCAGTCACTAAT